GCCGCCTCCCTCGGGGCACCCGCCTGCCCCTCCTCGCACGTTTGCACCCTTAGAATGGAGCCAGGCTGGAAATAGCAGCAGCAGATCTCCTCTTGGTTTAATTTTGGTGGTTCTCTGGGCTGGGGAGAGGAAGCCGGGGGTGGAGAGGAGCCGACTGCAAAAGGGAAGAAGAAGCCTCTTTCCTTCTGACACGTTCTGCAGAGCGATTCGAAACGCTGAAGCCGCTCCAAGATTCTATTTTATTTTGCTATAAGAATAATTATAGGCGTCACGTCCCGGTCTGTCTGTCTCTCGCGATGGCAGGGGATGGGAGCAGCCTGATCTAGGGAGGACGTGGCTTTGAAACAACTCGTAGTGAGTGTGTCTGAGCACTGAGGAGCTGGGGCAGTGTGAAGCGTAAACACCTTCGGGCTTCTTGTTTTTGCTGGTTTGTTCAGTGAAGGTGGGTTTGGGTTTGGCCTTTTTTTTTTTTTTTCTTCTCATTTCTCTGAATGAAAATAGATGGTGGAAAACAGCCGAGCAGGTTTCGCTTCCTGCTCTCTCTCGGGGCTCTGTGCTGGGGGTGCTCAGAGACAACCCCGCGTTTGGTCCAGCGCCGAGGCATCGAGCGTGTCTGCCTTGGGCTGTTTGCTCTTGACCTTCAGCTGGTCCCTCATTCCCTCGCAGAAACACAAGGAGTTGGAGGAACATCTTGTTTTATTGTCACCCCATGGGGTGCAAAAGAAGGTGGCAGGTGGCGGAGGCTTTGGGACAGCTCTTCGGGAGGTTTCTGCTTGAATTTTTCCCCATTGGGAGGTTTGGGGTTGGGGTGTTCTGCCCAGTCCCCTGCCACCCCAGAGCGCCGGGGATGGAGGCAGCGTGTGCCCTGCCCTGGTGCAGTGTCACCCCGCTGTCCCTTGCAGTGCTGTGCCCTGCCTTTGAGTCACCGGTGCAGCCCTGCCGAGGGTTTGCTGATGCCTGGCTGGGGCTTGGGTTTCTCTGTCTCCAGCAAGCTCTGCTGTGCTCAGCGGATCCTGGATTGCCTTTTCCCTGCGGCAGCTGAAATGTTTGGATTTCCCTGCCCTGGGCAGGTTTTTGGTGCAGCTCCCCTGCACTGAATCCCCAAAGGATTCACCCCAAAGGCAGGAGCAGCAGGTGCAAATGGAGCCGAGCACCCATCAGCAGCCAAAACCTGGAGGAGGGTCACTCCTGAGCCCTCCCTGGGTGCAGGACCTTGCAGTCCTGTCCTGGTGTGTCCCTGGCTGGCAGCAACACTCAGCACCACTCGCTCACCCTCCCTGCTCCTGGGGATGGGGAGAGAATTAAAGGGGGTGGAGGGAAAAGAGACTTGTGGGGTGATATAAGAACAATTTAATAACTAAACTGCAATAAAATTGGAAATAATAATGATGATGACAATAGTAGTGATATATACAAATGAGTGACACCCAGTGACACTGCTCACCACCCCATGCCCAAGGCTCAGCCCGTTCCTGGTTAACGATCCCAGAGCAGGGGGAGTCCTGAAACCTCAATCCTGGAATGGAGATAAGAGCCCGAGTGTCCGAGAGACTGAGACAACTCTGAGAGAGGGGCAGCGCAGAGGGAAACAACCTGGAGCAAGAGAGAGAACTTCTGGACAGATCCTCCCCTCTCCCCTGGCCGGGCCCGGCATGGGTATGGAATAGACCGTTGTCGAGTTTGGTCTCAGTCCCAAACCTGAGGTCGAATCCTGGGCTGGGAACTAGGGCTGTGCTCCCTCCCAGCTCCTCCTGCCCCTGTAGACACGGGCACAGCAGAGAAGCTGGAAAGTCCTTGACTATCCTGGCAGCAGCTCTGCCCATCAGTGTGTGATCAGCCACTTTCTCAGCACAAATAGAAAGCACAGCCTCTTACTAGATACTGTGAAGAAAGTTAACTCTGTCGCAGCTGAACCCAGGACGAATCCTTGGCCAAAGCTTGCCCAGGGCAGGGCCAGCACATCCCTCACTGCATGGGTGAGGAAGCAGGAGCGATGCCCTTGGTGGGTACCAGGGTTTGTGCATCACCCCACGGCCGTGCGACCCTTTGGTGCCTGCGGCGTGTGAAGGTAATGGGCATCCCCCAGGGATGTGGGAGTCTCAGGGAGAGCGTGGCAGGTGTTTGGGAGCCCTTGTGGGTTTTTTCAGGTTGTGCAGGTGGCTGGGCTCGGGCTTGGCTGGGAGTGGTGTGGATGGAGGGTCTGCACCCGCTGCGGTGGATTTGGGAGGACGGCTTGGACCGGCTGAGCATCGGCTTTGGACTTCTTTCCTAGAGCATCGCAGGCTGGAAATACAACTGTTTAATTGGAAATGTGGTCTGAAAGTTACAGTCCCCGACGGGTCTGTATTGGGTTTCTGGCAGCGCGTTTTACGGGATGGTTGGACCTCTGGGTCCTGGATTTGGAGGGGCAAATATTTTTAGGCAGGCTGAGTGCAGGAATAAATGCTGCCGGAGCCCCTTGCAGCAGGGAAATTACGTTTCCCTGGTGTGAGGTGCATCCAATGCTGCTTACCTAGTGTCAGACTGAGAGGTTTGAGGACAAGCTGTCTCGGTGTGGGAATATGTGCAGAACAAGTTGCACTGTGGGGTACTGAATGGACTGCTGGGGCATAAGGGAAGGGATTGTTCATCTGGGCCCAAATCACTAGTTAATATTTTTATTTTTATCATTTTTTACTTTGTTACGCTCACTGGGCTGTCGATGAAAACCCACAGAGCTCCCTGCAGAAGAAGGTAAGTTGTGGGTACATGCCTTGAGTCTGGGGGGAGGGTTGAGGGGCGGGGGGGTGCAATTTTGGGGTCGTTTAATCTTGGGTTTAATCTGAGAAAGCTGGGCTGACAGCAGAGCCTTCCTGTGGTGGCAAGGCTACCAGCTGTGAATAGAAACACAGAAGGCTTGGTTTCTGTAGTTAAGAGCAGATGTAGTAAATCCAGGCCAATGCCAGAAATGAAAATGTTTCGTATTAGAGAGGAACCCCCCTTGCAGTGCTGGATGTCCTCGGTGCCCATGGCTGAGGGGCACAGGAGCCGCTCTGCTGCAAGCAGGGAACAGGGTCTTGTTGATCTCAGTGGTTCAATTACCTCTCTTCTGGGTTTTTTTTTTGAGCACTGACTGTGCTGGGCTTCATGTTTTCCCCCCAGGAAAGTCCCTCTGGGAGTTGGTGCTGGAGCAGTTTGAGGATCTACTCGTCCGCATCCTTTTGATGGCAGCTTTTCTGTCATTTGTAAGTACCCTGGCTCGGGGGCGGGCACCTTCCAGGGCACGCAGGGACCCAGGTGGCAGCTGGATAGCAAAGGAGCCAGAGGAAGGTGTGTGCTGGATGAAGGAGATGGAGCAGCAGCACAGTGGTTTTCTAGGGTGCAATGACAATATCACTGCATCTACTTGAACGATGAGCCTGTAGGATTTTTCAGTAATGCTGATACATCCACAAGTGATATTGAAGTGGTGGAGTCACCACCCCTGGAGGTGTTCAAGAAACGTGTAGATATGGTGCGTAGGGACATGGGTCAGTGGGTGGTGTTGGGTTGATGGTTGGACTTGATGATCCTTGAGGTCTTTTCCAACCTTAATGTTTCTGTGATTCTATCAGCAATGACCTAGATTTAGACCAATGATGGTTGGGTGGTAAGGGTGGTAAGAAGCCACAAGGTCAGTCCCTGCTCTGCAGAGCTGCTCTTACCGTCACGTATTCATATTGCATCACTTCACTTCTGCCCCAAAGAGGCTCCTTGGAGGCTGACTGTGCCGCAGGCAGCGACCGCAGTGACTGCCTGGCTGGTGGTGGCAGCGTCTGGTTGAGAAGCGGGCAGTGCTACCTGGTCTCTCTGCTCATGGCCATGGTCTCTCCATGCATGCGCTAAGCACAAATGGGTGCTTTCCTGGTGCAACTACTCATCCAGTCTTTGCATGGCCATTTCATAGAATCACAGAATGTTTTGGGTTGGAAGGGACCTTAAAGCCCATCCAGTGCCACCCCCTGCCATGGGCAGGGACACCTCCCACCAGCCCAGGTTGCCCAAAGCCTCATTCAGCCTGGCCTTGAACCCCTCCAGGGATGGGGCATCCACAGCTGCTCTGGGCAACCTTGGCCACTGCCTCACTCCCACACCGGAAAAAAGTATGCTCCAAACCTGCTCATTTAATGCATTAGGTTGTCCCGAGCGAAAGAGTGGAGGCACCTGAGTTAAGCACCGTCAGTGGGATATGGCGAGTCCATGCTTTAACCAAGTCATGTGGGACGTGGGGCTGGCTACTACTCCAGGTTGTCTTCTATCCAGCAAACACCACATGTCAGTTGGCTCTTCTTTCCGTCCTTCTTAAAATGTTGGCGCTTGTTGTTTCAACCACACTGTGGTCCTTCTCTTCTCTTGCCTACCAGATCCTGGCATGGTTTGAAGAAGGAGAGGAGACCATGACGGCGTTCGTGGAGCCCGTCGTCATTATCATGATCCTGATCGCCAACGCTGTGGTGGGTGTGTGGCAGGTGAGTCGCAGACCCCTGCCTGGCTGAGACGCAAAGGTCTGGTTGCTTCTTGCCATTGGAAGCTCATTTCTCAAAGGTTCAGTTTTCATGCTGGCTGTGCTGCCCCATGCCCCAGCACAGATATTCAGTTGCTGGCTGCCTCTTGGCTTGTTCCTTCAATCATTCTTTGGCAACTTTTGCAGTTTGGAGTTTAGGATCTTGCATTTATTTGCCATTGAATGCTGCTTGTCTACTGGCTGTGGCCAAATGCATTTTCCAGGAGAAACTTTTTGTCTTGTCCACTGGAAAGCCACAGTGGCTGGTGCCCCTCTCCTCGTTGCATCCCTCCTGGGGCACGAGCAAGCTCATCAACGAGCAATGTTCCTCCTCTTGTATGTATTCACTTTAAGGCTATTTATTTATCTGCAGCTTGATCTGAGCTGGGGTTGCTAGATGGGAAAAAAGACATCTGGGTGGGATATGCTGCTTCCCTGACCAAGAATGAGAAAATCAGGCCCAAAGGTCCATGCAGTGTCCAGGACCTGGTGTGATTTAAGCCAGCAGGGACCCTTCAGAGCAGCTGAGGAAGATGCAGCACTTGCCCCATCCATGGTGCAAATGGACGCCAAAGCCAGGGCTGGGGTTTGTGTGCTCCTGTCTTTGCAGCGGGTGGAGAAGGAGCCTGCTGGGACAAGCAATCCCACCGCTGCAGCTCTGCCTCTGCTCTGCTTGCAGGAGAGAAACGCCGAGAGCGCCATCGAAGCCTTGAAGGAGTACGAGCCTGAGATGGGGAAGGTGATCCGTGCCGACCGCAGCGGGGTGCAGCGGATCCGCGCCCGGGACATCGTCCCTGGGGACATTGTGGAGGTGGCAGGTATGGTGCCATCACCAGGGCAGGGGGTGGGATGGGGTCAGGAGGTGGAGCTGGCCAGGGCACCCCGTGGTCCTCATGGCGCGAGGGCTCTGCTGTGGCATTTGGGCACATCTCTGCTCGAGGTACGGCTGCCAAGTCACCTCGGTTTTGCACACTTGAGGTATTAGTTTCTCTTTTCAAATCCAAATCAAATTTGGGCCAAATTTGGGGCTCATCAGCCTGTGGAGCCCTCAGCCTGAGCGTGGGGCAATACAGAACTGCAGGAAAAAAAATAGTGTTTATTTCCGTGCAAATTTTGCGTCTCAGGAGGGTTTCCCCATTTTCTGGAAGAACTTTTAATTTTCCACCCAGATTCTCTTCCTCTGGAGGCAGCTCTCCCATGCACCTCCCCCAGACAAGGCACAGGTGAAGGGCTGGTGCTGGGTGCCCACCGGTGCTGGGTGCCCATCGGTGCTGGGTGACCACCGGT